AATATACAAGCAAACGAGCCAACTGTGTTATTCATAGGCTAAATCCAGGACTTATTAAAAGTAGGAATTCAGAGAGTGCTGTAGGTGGCAAAGATGCACACAGGCCGTGTGTGTGTCTCTGGCAACATCTTTCTATTCTGTCAGCGGATCTCGTTCACACTGTGGGCAACACAGTGACGGATCCTGTCAATATTCTCTTGTTGCAGAACACAGGCTCTAAAACATTCAGGCTCACTAGTTGAAGTAGGCTGGCTTCGTTGCCCCATGGAGTGTGGGATCTTAGTTGCCTAACTAGGGATTGAACCTGCGTCTCCTGCGTTGGAAGGCGGACTCTTAACCACCGGACCGCCAGAGAGGCCCTTGTCCACAGTCTAAATTTGAGCCTTTCACATAAAAGTGGGGGAACTCTCCTCTCCTCACTCAAGTACTCTGAGCGATCAAACGACAGCTGTTACGTTTGTTATTGTTTGTCCTGCTTTGCTCCCAAGAAGACGTGGAGGGGCCTCCCCTCCGGGCCCCGCCTACAGGCCTGGAGGGTGGGGCGGCCAAGGATGAGTTGGCAGCCTGGTCGCTGGCTCCATGGGGCCTCTCCAAACACCAGGGTTTGTTCAGGACATTTTCTCTGAGTCACTCCTGGTGATAAGCATAGGCAGGAGCCTCTAAGCAAGTCAGGTTTTGGATTCGTGCCCTTGGAGGTTTGATTGCAGAATTTGCCAAGTTCCTTAACAAACCTTTCGCAGCGCTGACAGAACGGTAGTCATTCTGGGAGCCAAAGCAGCCGAGACAACAATCAACAGAAGGCGGGACCCAGTGCAGAAGACTGAGGGACGCTTTCTTCTTGGGCTGCATTTTTCCAACCAGTATTTATTGAGCCCCTTCAAAGCGCTGCGTCCCATGCTAAGGGCTGAGGAAGCAGTGGTGAGCAACAGAGGCCTGGTGCTGAGGACGCCCACCGTGCAGTGGGGAGGGTTGGCGGGGGGTGGCGGGGCTGGGAACCCGATCGGAAAAGCATAAAGCCACTGCAGTAGCCAGTGCTCTAAAGGGGAAGTGCATGCGTACGTGCTAAGTCGCTTCAGTTGTGTCCACCTCTGTGCGACCTTGCGGACTTGTGTGGCCCTTGCAATAAACCTTGCGCTTGTGTGTTCAGCTGCTTCAGTTGTGTCTGACTCCTTGCGACTATAGCCCACCAGGCTCCTCTGCCCATGAGGATTCACCAGGTAAGAACACTGGAGTGGGTTGCCATGCCTCCTCCAGGGGATCTTCCTGACCCAGGCATCGAACCCACATCTGCTGCATCTCTTGTACTGCAGGTGGATTCTTTGCCGCTTAGCCACCAGGGAAGCCCCGGGAGGAACATTTCTCTGCTCCAAACCCTGATTTTTCAGTTCCTCTGGCCTCACTGTGTGTTGGGCGAAGGAACTCTGGTTGGATCACGGGCCTTCTGGGTTTCTTGGGGTCTTTATCTTCCTAGCAATGGGAAGTCTCTGAAAGGCAGGGAGAGGAGACTGAGAATGCCAGGATCATTTTGGCATTGGGAAAGATCACTCTGGCTGGAGAGCTAACTTTTCTGAAGGTAACTGCTGTGCAAATCCAGTAAGCAGGATCAGTATTCAGTTACTAGAAGCAGAAGCTGGCGCCTTGCATCTGGATCTGGGTTTGAACTCAGCTTCATGCTTCATTTCTGGCCTTGGGCAAGCTGGCACTTCATAGCCTCAGCAACCTCCTATATGAAATAGGGACAAAAATACCTCCTTTTGTTGTGAGGGTCAAGACAAGTAAATAAATAGCCTTGCCTGAGATACCACAAATTCTCCTTGGGACCTGAGAGAGTAGAAACCTACTTTGATACTATATGGGAAATTAAAATAGCTAAAATTGAGCAGGTCATATGGACTTTCAGCTTCATTTGGAGAAAACGCTTTGGATGTTACCTGAACTTCACCTTCCTATAGAGCGACAGTCTGGAAATACCAACTCCTGATTCTTTAAACAACATCAACAACACAACAACCACTTATTAAACTGTTTGTACAAGGTGCTGCAGCCATGCCTTCTGATTTTGGCATTTATTAGATGCTAGACCATGGAGAGATGAACAACCAGAAAACATACAAACAAGTGAGCATTACAAATATAGAAACAAATAAGGAAGCCATTGGCTGTGAGTTGAATGCATTTGTTAGTGATGAGTAAGAAAGTGATGACTGGGTGTCACACTTGGTCGCAGAGGGGTTGTGAATGCTTCTGTCTTGGTCAGTCCAGGACTGGACACTTCAGTACTCTTCTCTCCTAAACAGCCAAGGATCCGGCTGCCTTGGAGTTCCAGCTGATGTTAAGTCAACTGTCTTGTCAAAAAGACTCGGAAGTCAACTTTCTAAGGCTCCCACTCGCTCATGAAGAGACAATGTGATCACCAAGGAGGATGTGAAATATATCAAATACATTTTAAAATTCTGGAGTTTGTAATGACATGGAAAAAACATTGCTCACCATCACAAGGTGTTAGGAAACCAATATATTATTTTGAAAGTTTGTGAATAAACAGAAGGAATCAAATAGTCATCCTGCCTTTCTGACATGAACTGTGCTAAACAGTGGCTGAGGGCAAGTTTTCCTTTATACAAAACATTTTCTTTCAGCTGATACGTGAAGAAGGAACAACAGAGTTAGAATATCACCATTTTGTAAACTGTAACGGATTAATAAATCTAGACACTCATCATCAAGGGCTATCATCAATGTCAGAAAAAGACAGAAAGATATCCCCCTCCTCCTCCCCAGCCCATTATGTACCTCTTGACGGAAGAGCACAAAGATAAAATTTGGCCAAAATTAAAAAAAAATTGAACTGGATACAAGTGAATTAGACCCAACAATGCATTTCTCAGGAAACAGAGGATAGAGAAAAATGTTAAAGGACGTAGACAATGGTAAATGACATGACTAAGGGACCAGTTCCTAAAATAAATTAATTGAAAGGAAAAAAGAAGATGGTGGGGACTTCCTTGTGGTCCAGTGGTTAAGACTCTAAGCCTCCATTGCAGGGGTCAAAGGTCCAATTAAAGGTCAGGAAAGTAGGATTCTGCATGGTGCAGCCAATAAAATAACATAAAGTTAAAAAAAATAAAAAGGAGATGGAGGGGTAACCATAGACTGAAAAAGATTTTACAATATGAGACACATTACTCAATTGCAAGGTGGGGATTCAAATAAACTGTAAAAATCTTTTTTTAAAATATTGATAATTGGAACTTTGAACTCTGATGGGATATATGAGGATTTTAGGAATTATCAGTTTTTCACATGTGCTAATAGCATTGTGAAAGTGTTACTCCCTCAGTCGTGTCTTTTTTTGAACCCATGGACTGTAGTCCACCAGGCTCCTCTGTCCATGGAATTCTCCAGGCAAGAATACTTGAGTGGGTATCGATTCCCTTCTCCAGGTCATCTTCCCAAGCCAAGGATCGAACCTGGGTCTCCTGCACTGCAGGTGGATTCTTTACTGTCTGAGTCATGAAAGGAGCCTAAGTTAAAAATCCATTGGCCAATCCAAAATCTGTCAATCCTTTTCTTTTACCATTAAACACATTGTTATTACTAGTATTATAGTAATACGATGTCTCATTTGGTCAACTTGTCCAGTCACTTTCACTGGAGATCTGGAGGCTAGCCTTGGCAATAGGAAACCTGGATTCTAATCTTACTTACCAGCTGAGGGACTCTGGACTCCCTGGGTCTCCCCGGATCCTCCCTGGGGAAATGAGGGGCAAGGATGATTTTTAACATCCTGCTGGCTGTGGATTCCTGGAGTGATTAAGAGATTTGAGTTCTGCAGTCTGACTGTCTGGGCTAACCCATGTATATCCAAGGGTAAATTTACTTAATCCTCTAGAGTGTTGGCTTCCCAATTGTAAGAACCATAAGACTTACCCTTAAGAGATCTTGTGAAGATTAAGTGAGATACATACTGCACTCATTCCATAACTACTGAGCACCCAACCTGCAGCTCTGGGACGGGCAGGGAGTGGAGCAGAGAAGAAAACACTGGGGTCCAGGTCGTTTGGAGCTTAAACACAGTAAACACTAAAAAAGGAGTAGGATTTTATTTATTTACTTTATAACAGTGGGTCAAAGGTGGGGGTCTCTGATAAGATTAAGGGGGTGAGCAGGGCTTGCACTCCCTTAATCTCTTCTAGAGTAGCAGAAACAGGATTTTAAATAGCCAGAACCAGGAAGAAAACACAGCACAGCCATTTAACTGAGGGCGACTTTCCTGAACGTGGACATTTCATGTGACAATGTCGCAGATCCTCCGGGCTGCGATATTAAGTAGGTTGACTTGGCTTAGGGAGGTCGCCTGCAGTGGGTGCATGGATGACATAGCCTACCCCGTGTAGCAGTGTTCTCAGCCAGGTGGATTTCACCTCCCTCCACCATGCAACGTCAGGGAATTTTCGGTTGCCACAACACGGCATGGGGTGGGGAGGTCATTCTGGCATCTAGTGGGTCAAGGCCAGAGATGATGCTCAGTATCCTACACGGCACAGGACAGCCTCCACACCAAGAAACCATCTAGTCCAAAATGCCAACAAGAGGCATAGCGGAGAAACCGTGCTATAGAGTGTACAGCCCCGGCAAGGGTTCCTGACTCAAGAGGGAGCTTGCTGTGTTGGGGATCCAAATGGAAATCCCGTGTGGCTGAGTAGATTAGGATGAAGTGACAGAGGCAGCCTGGGCTAGACGGATGGAGAGCTGTTTAGGACACACGGTGAGGAACTCTGAATTATCCCCAAAGCAGTGGGCAGCCCTTGAATCTCTTCAGGCAGGGGCAGGAAGGCAACCCACGTAACGCGGTTTGCCTGCAAGTGGGGATGCAGTAACTCCTCCCGGCCAGCAGAGAGCGCCAGCCGACACTTGGCCTCCGGCCGCCCGGGGCGGGCCTCTTCTTGCCGTCCCCCCTTCCTCGTCTTTTCCCCTCAGGAGAAGTCGGGAAGGCGGCGGCGGCGGTTGTCCCACGACCGTCGGGCCGGTTCGCGTGGCCCGTCAGCCCGCGCTCCGCAGCGTGTCCGCGTCGCGCTCAGCCCGGTCGAGTCGAGCCGCAGCGGCCCGGGTCCGGCGCGGGCGGCGCGCACTGACGGAGGGCGGCGGCCGCGGCCAGGGCGGCCGGTGGGACCGCGGGGTCCCCGGCGCAGCGCCGCCCGGCTCCCGGCCCTGCCGGCCTCTTCCCTCGGCGCCGCGGCCATGGCGGCCAGCGCGAAGCGGAAGCAGGAGGAGAAGCACCTGAAGATGCTGCGGGACATGACCGGCCTCCCGCACAACCGAAAGTGCTTCGACTGCGACCAGCGCGGCCCCACCTACGTGAACATGACGGTCGGCTCCTTCGTCTGTACCTCCTGCTCCGGCAGCCTGTGAGTGCGGGGCGGCCGGGCGGGTGGCCGGCCCTTCCTCGGGCTTGGGGAGGGGTTGGCCGGGCGGGGGGCCTCGCGGGGCTCGGGGCCATGGGCCGGGATGCGCTGGGCCCGCGGGGCCGGGGATGCACTTTCGGTTTTCGCTGGGCGAGGGTCCAGGCCCTGCGGGGATGGGGGTGGGGGTGGCTAGCCTTGGTGGCTGGGGCGTGGGCGGGGTCGGGGTCGGGACAGGGCGCCCGGGGTGAGCATCTCTGGTCCCCGCGGAGCCGGCGCCCGCCCGTCTCCCTCGGGCCTCCCCTCTCCCGGGCGCGCCGACCCAATGGAGCTGCAGTGGGAGGACGGGAGGAGGCTTGGAGGGCCTCGCGGGTCCTTTGTGTGCCCCGCCTCTCTGCCGGGGCGCGGCGGTCCCTAGCGAGGCACCTGCTGGGCCCCCGGTAGAGGGTTGGTGGGTAAGGCCGGGGTGGGAGCGAGAGCAGGGACGCTTAGTCTGTGTGTGGTTGTTTTTTTTTTCCCCCCTCAGATCCAGAGTTCCTAGGACACTGTGAGAAAGCCAGCACTTAGAAATAGTAGCGGCGTTAAAATGTTTTGATGGCAGAGATGGGAATCCCAAGGGACAAGTTGAGGGGAGGGGAGGGGGTCCGCGTTTAATTGCGGGAGAGGGAGACAGAGAAAGCAGGCATGAGGTTAATGGGCCTTCAGCTTTATGGCCCAGAGAGAGTCTTGAAGAGTTGGAGTAAAGTTTAATGGAAGTAAGGGACTGACTAGGAGCTGTGTCATTGTCCATATGGTGGTGGTGTTATCTGTAAGATTTCTCCGTCAATACCCAAGTGTCCTGACTGTACACAGAAACGAGAAGAGATGGAAAGACAGTATTGTTTCAGGAAAAGGGAGACTGCCGTCTTGAATTACTGGGATGGTTTGTATTTGTTCCTCTTTTCTTCATTAAGCTGCTTTTTTCTATTAAGATTTTTGTTGCTGAGATTGAAGGTTTTTGTTTTTGTTTTTTGGAGAGTTTGCAGTTGATTTTGGAACTAAGTTGCTTTTATACACTAAATTGTCTTGTAGTAAGTTACCAATGAAGAGGTAATTACTAAATGGTCTTAAAACCTTTGTTGTATCAAACATCTACTTAAGTTCTTTCTCTTGTTCTATTCTTTGGAATCAGTTATCTGGTCTCCCCCTTCCCCTCCGGAAACTTTGTAAGATTAATCTTGAGGCAAAGTGTATAATATGTGAGAAAACTTGATTTTTTTTTTGAAACGTAAGTAATGTATGATTTTTCGTCTTCCTGAGTTGGGCAAAGATGAATCATTAGTCTTCCATGATGATTATTTCTTTAACATATTTATTGGGTGCCTGCTAGTTTCTCTGTAAAGCCTTGGGGAGTGCTGATGAATAGAGCAAAGTCTTTTGTTCTCTTGGTGCTTACATTCTTATTCTTGTTGGGGAGATGGTAACATAGTGATCAAATGAGAAAAATGTCAGGGGCAAGAGTACACTGAAATAGTAAGATAGGAGGAGAGACCTTCTCTGAGAAGTCACTTTTAGATTGTAGGATCAAGAAAGCACTCTGAGAAGTTGATAATTAGTGATGTTATTGAATTACAACAGAATCCTAGAGCTGGGTAGTGTTTAGGAGATAGTCTGGTTCATTCTTTTCATTTACAAATAAAAACTTAGTTTGTGGGCAACTTTGGTTTTAAAACAACTTAGGCTATAGTCCAGTTTGTTTTGAGGGTAGTACTTGACTTTTTGCATAGTAAATATGCTGTATTTTTACTTAACACAAGGTCCTTTAATACATTTAAAGTATTTGATTTGAAAAAATGTTCAGTCTCATCACTTTATGGCAAATAAATGGGGAAAAACAGGAAACACTGGCAGCTTTTATTTTCTTGGACTCCAGAATCACCGCGAACAGCGACTGCAGCCATAAAATTAAAAGATGCTTGCTCCTTGGAAGAAAAGCTATGACAAACCTAGACAGCGTATAAAAAAACAGAGACATCTCTTTGCAGACCAAGGTCCGTATAGTAAAAGCTATGGTTTTTCCAGTAGTCATACAGGCATGGAGAGTTGAACCATAAAGAATTGATGCTTTATGAAGCATTGATGAAGACTTGATGCTTTCAAATTGTGGTGCTGGAGAAGACTCTTGACAGCCCCTTGTACAGCAGGGAGATCAGACTAGTCCATCCTAAAGTATATCAACCCTGAATATTCATTGGCAGGACTGTTGCTGAAGCCCTAATAACTTGGCCACCTAATGCGAAGAGCCAGCTCATTCCCTGATGCTGGGAAAGATTGAGGGCAGCAGGAGAAGGGGACAACAGAGAATGTGAGATATGGACTCAATGGACATGAGTTTGAGCAAACTCCAGGAGATAGTGAAGGGTAGGGAAGCCTGGTGTGCTGCAGTCCACAGGATCAGAGTCAGACATGACTTAGTGACTGAACAACAACAATGTATATATTTACTCTTCTGGATTTCTGACTTTTCTGTTATCTGTTTATAAGTATGAATTTATTGCTGCAAATGTGTAATATGAAGAATTATTTACAAGTTTCTTTCTAGAGTGTTTGCATCTCAGAAACATTATATATGAGAGGTTATCTCATTATATATGCCAATTATTCACTTTAATGGAATTTTTAATGTGTAACAGGACTCTGTGTCTCTTTAGTTGTAAATCTGCAAATATTTATTACTTGACCTGTTTCGTATACTGTGGGAGGCACTGGTCCTGTTGGGGTCCCACTGTATTTCAGGTGCTTGCATTCCCAGTATGGAAACAGCTACAGTATAGTAGTGTTTCATTTCTTGGAATGAGCTCTCCCTGAAATATGTAGATGAATAGGAAAAGCCTCACAGAAGCCTTGATGGCTGAGCCTTTGGCCTCACCTTTAAAGATGAGAGCCACATGGCAGTGGCTTCATGGAGTGAAAGAACCAGTGCTGATGCTTAGGAGCTGGGTAAGCTTGGGTTTGAATCCTGGCCCCACTTGTTAGCTGTGTGAATGAGAATGTCACTTGCCTCTAAATTTTCTCATGTTTGAAAAGGCAAGGATGAGGTTTACCTTACACATTTTGGATGTAGGTTAGTTTTCAATATTAGAGATACTGTATGTCTGACATCTCCCATGACTCCTGGGATATACATTACTAATAGCTGCCCAGTAGGTGAGAGGCATTATTGACGAAGGGGACAGGATACTCCATGAGCAGGGAACGATATCTGAAAGATGATAAAATGAGAAGCACCTTTATAAGAAAATTTATCAGTTTGGATTCTTTAGATTTAACTTGGTGTGACTGAAGTTGGTTTAAAAATATGAGGGGAATGTATTGTTTGTCTTTAAGTGAGATTTTATCCTCTGGTTTAAGGATGTTGCCTAGATTTCCCTCATTCAAAGATGGCTGCTCCCAGCTGCCTTAATTTATAACACTGTTACAACTCTACCAGAAATTCTACAATTCATTCTGGATTAGGTTAGGTCATTTGATTGTATAGAAGCAGTACCCTCATTGGATACGTTGTACGATGGTGTTATTGGAATAACAAGGATCCCAAATAGAATTCCCAAATCAGAAATCTGGGATCCTTGTGAAGGAAAGACTGGATTCCAGATCAAACATCTACTCAAATTCTGAGAGAAAATAATTCCTGAGGATTTTTTTCTTTGAAAAGCAGTAATGTAGGAAAATACTTCAAGAATAATAGCTACTGAGTTTAATGATAATTATATCTTTGATACTTAGATGACATGCTGTAATGGAAGGAATATGAATTATGGAGTCAGATTTTGACTCTACCACTAGCTTTGTGACTTGAAAGTGAAAGTTGCTCAGTTGTGTCCAACTCTTTGCGACCCCATGGACTGAATATACAGTCCATGGAATTTTCCAGGTCACAATACTGGAGTGGGTAGCCTTTCCCTTCTCCAGGAGATCTTCCCAACCCAGGGATTGAACCCAGGTGTCCTGCATTGCAGGCAGATTCTTTACCAGCTGAGCCACAAGGGAAGCCCAAGAATACTGGAGTGGGTAGCCTATCCCTTCTCCAGCAGATCTTCCTGACCCAAGAATCGAACTGGGGGTCTCCTGCATTGCAGGTGGATTCTTTACCAACTGAGCTATTAGGAAAGCCTGGCTTTGTGACTTAGGTCAAAGTATTAAGCAAAGGCAAAGTATTGAGCAAGATCACTATGTGTGGCTTGGCCTGGATTCATCCCCTCAGCTTCTTTATTTGTGATAAGAGGGTGATAAGATATAGCTTAAGGTTGTTTAGAGGATTAAGTGGTACACTTCACTGAATATTAATTGAGCATATATCATTTTTGAGCATGGGGCTAAGCAGGGAATATACATACATGAATTGAGGCATGTTAGCTGCCTTTCAGAAACCTTGATGTGCCTAGAAAATGCTGATACACAATAAATGGTATCTGCTATTATGAATTTTAAGATAGTCACATGCCTTTTTATTAATTATTTAGCAATATCTTTGTTAAATAAATTGAACAAGTATCTTGTTAATATTATTAGACTCAGCTAATTTTTTATTTCCTGTGGTTTTTTTTTTTTCTCAGTTGATTGCACTCTGTGCTTGTATGATACTTATTTAAAATATGTAACTGAATTAAGATTGTGAAACTTTAAAATAGACTTCAAATTTAGGTATATTAAACTGTCACTGAGGTAGAAAGGGGGTGTTCTAACAGATTGATTTGTCTTTCTTCCTGCTTCTATCTGTGGAACTATTTAGACTTATAAATGGCACTCCATTATAGCCAACATAAAGTATCGCCTTCATGTTAATGAACTTATAGTTGATATAAAGACTAGGTTTAGACCAAATTATTTATTTTGTGGAGATTGTTAGCATTAATTAATTGGTAAATAATATAAGAATTGTTCTATCCTTAAAAAATGATTGATTTACTTTTCAGAGAGAGTTTAGATAAAAATAAAAACCAACATTTGAGAAACATCTAGTCCAG